TTTCTAATCTTGGACCTCAAAAGACTGCTGCGACTCTGAGGCCAGCCTGGGCTGCAGCTAAAACCTAATTAAAAAAAAAAAAAGTCTAGCTTATAGAATCTTCAACATAGAGCCTATATATAGGAGGGACAAACTATGCATAGGAAGGAGGACCCTACAATGAGATAAACCCATAGTACACTGGACAAAGAGCTCATAGCATCCTTGATCCTGTCCTGTTCACGGTTAAATGGCCTGAAGAAACCAACGGGGCAAGTCAGGCTTGCAAACAGAAGCAACTAATTGCTAAGGAGCACAAGCAGGAAAGTGACAGCTAACACCAGATTGCATAGCCCCTCCCTCCCCTCCTCTCCTCCTCCCTCCCTCCTCCCCTCCTCCTCTCTCCCATCTTCTGCCTAGGTCAGCATTTACCAAAATGTGCCCTACTAATCCTTGAAAAATAGTTTATAGCATAAGCTTATAGCATTCAGAAGATTCTGATTTTCTTTGTTAGCTATTAGCAAGCCAAAGGTCCTGCCCGGTAGGTTCTGAAGGAGTTTGGTATTACCTCACACTTCTCAAACGTTTGCTCCTGAGCCTTTAGAGAGTAATCATTACCTGACGGGGGCCTAAAGCTGGATCCTGAACTATGTCAAGACTTTTGAGGCCCTAATTAATTTAGAAACAGGGTCTCACTACGTAGCCCTAGCTGTCTGGAAATCCATCTGCCTCTGCTTCCCCTGTGCTGTGCTCAGCTCAAACTTCCTAAACTTCAAAGTTTCAAGGCCCCTGAGCCGCTACTCAATGATTTTCTCTTCCAAGTACCAAACTTTAAAAACAAAACAAAACTTTACACTTCCTGCTTCCTGTTCTGTCATCCCAGCTTCTACCTCACGCAGGCTCTGTGCCCCGGGCTCAGCTGAAGGCCTTTTCAAAACTTGAGGAGCAGCTGACCAAGAGACAGAACTAGTGTTTGCTGCAGCTCCTCCGTCCCTCTTCCAGGTCACACAGGAGGCCAGCCTTCCTGACTCAGAGTTCAGAAGAGCACATTCCACCCTCTCCCGACTACTGGCTTCTTCCCTGGCTCCCCTTCCCTCTCCAGTCCCTACCTTCTTCCTTGTTCATACTGCCACCCCGAAGGGACCTAGGATCCGTGTCATCTCCGTGACATTTCCAGTGGGTTTCAACTTGTGCTCCTTATTCCAAGGACTATACATTCAGCCCACACCAACCAGACTTGCTCATTTCCCCACCAAACTTTCCTGCTGCCCCAGTTCTTGTTAACAGACTCACCATTTAGAGTGGCGAGGCACGGGGTAGAAGGCAGAGCTAGACACTTTGTCTTCAGCACACAGCCTGAACATGACTGAATTACCCATCATGACAGACTCTCAGCTACTAAAATCTTTACCCACTCATCAACCAGCAGCAACTCAACACACTGAGAAAAAAAAATATCTTTTGCTTTGAGAAAGGATCTTACTGTGGAGCCCTAGCTGGCCTTGAACTCAAGAGATCCGCTTGCCTCTGCCTCCTGAGTGCTGACACTAAAGGTGTGCTCCACCAGGTCCAGACCTAGATGAATCTTTACTTTCTTTTCTCTGGGGGGAGGGGGATTTGAGACAGAGTTTCTCTGTGCAGCCCTGGCTGTCCTGAAACCCGCTCTGTAGCCCAAACTGGCCTCGAACTCGCAGAGATCCGCCTGCCTCTGCCTCCCGAGTGCTGGGAACAAAGGTGTGCGCCACTGTAGCTAGCTCTGAAATGACCCTCTGGTCACATTACTCCTGCTCCCAAATCCCAAAGTCTCCCACTGCTTCTAAAACAACCTCAGCAAGCAATCACTGCTTCCTAGATTTGGATCTTTGCTCTTCCCATCCCTGTCTCCTGCTACTCTCTGGATTCTATAGTCCAGTCGACACAGTCACCACAACCAGTAAATCAGTTCTGACCAGCATGCTCATTTACATATTTCCTTCTGCTTTACTGCAGTGCCAGGAATAGAACCCACGGCTTTGTGGTATGTAATCCAGACGGAGCTCCACCTCAGCCCACTGCACACTGTCTATGACTGATTTTGTGTTACAATCGAAGAGTTGACTAGTTGTAACAGAGACCACAGAGTCTGTAAGGACAAGAACATTTACTATCTAGCCCTTTACAGAAAAATGCACTGGCCACATGTAGTTAAACTAAAAAGAGACAGCCAAAAAGTATTACAGAAGTGTAAAGTCTGTGAATAGACACAAGCATCCTGTAGGGTCCACAGCCTGCAAGTAGCCCCACAGAAGCCCCAAGTGGCTTGTAGCACCCCTGACTTTAGTTCGCTTTACTATATTTACTAAGTGTCTCATCCCCTCTTCCTTGGTAGATCTCAAGGTGGGAACAGCTATTTGATTTGTTTTAGCCAATTAAATAGGAACAGGAATAGTTTCATTTTTGTTGTTACAACTGAATACCACAAGCCAATTCTGTGTGCATGTGTGTGTGTACATGCATGTCAGGGGGGAGGCATGTGCCAAGGCACATGTGTGGAGGTCAATGTGCCTGTAATCCCAGCACTAGGGAGGCAGGATAATGATCACTTTGAGAAAAGCTTGGGCTGCACACAGTGGCGCATGCCTTTAAGCCCAGCACTTGGAAGGCAGAGGCAGGCGGATCTCTGAGAGTTTAAGGCCAGTCTGGGCTACAGAGCGGGTTTCAGGACAGCCAGGGCTACACAGAGAAACACTGTCTCGAATCCCCCTCCCCTCAGAGCCTGTTTCAAAAAAGAAAAACACACACACACACATACACACACAAAAGAAAGAACCCTTGTTTTAGGGGGATAGCTGGCCACTCCCTAAAGAGGGGAAGGGGCCTCTGTTTTCTGCCTCTCTCTGTTCACATTGTCCCCATCTCTCAGAAACACTCATATTCTGCTTTTCTCAGAAACTGAAGACATTTTTAAGACCACCCTGAAGGCTCGCCTAAGCACACAGCTGAGTTCCTTGTGTTCCCAAATACAGCACTGGTTCCCTTCGCTGCTACCTCTTTCCCTAGTGCTCACATTTCTGCCATCAGATATTTCTACCTCCATGCTGCAGAGAACCATCTGCAATCACAGCACCTTGCTTGAAATGTTTGTGAGACCAGGGACGCGTCTGTCACCCTAGCATTGGAAAGGGAAGGCAGGACATCTAAAGTTCAAGGTCAACCTTAACTACACAGCAAGCTGGAGGCCAGCTTGGGTTACCGGAGCCATCTCAACAACAACACAGCAACGAGTAATTGGGTCTGCTGAAGGCAGATGGACCCCTGTACAAGCTCCCACAATAGGCTGACCAACAAGAAAATTCCTGAGGCTTGCCAGAGTGTCTACCTTCACCAGCACGGAACCTGACAGCTGCAGAACAGGGCTCTTCCAGCCCAGCCCTGAAGACACCTAGGGTAAGTACTTGTCGTCGGAGGCTAGCCTGTACATTATAAAACATCTAACAGCATCATCAGCGCCTACCTACACGATTCCAGTTAGCCCATCCCCAGTGTGACAACCAACTGTCTCCTGGGGGGTAAAAATGCCCCTGGCCGAGAACCACTATTCTAGAGGTTTAGAAGCACAAGCCAACAGTGAGATGCAGGTAATAAACACAGATGGCACAGTGACTGTAGGACAGTGTCCAGATGAGGAGACGGATAAGAGCCACACAACTGGCACTGCTGACTCACTCTTGGGAGACCATGCTCAACTCTGGATTCTGAAAGGACATTGGAAAACTGGAATTCCTTCAGTTAAAGGCAACCAGATTGAGGAGAGACTGGGGACAATGCCATCAGAAAAATATCTGAATGTAGATGGCTAGCTTGTACCAAACAATATGGCGGCACCTTTAAAAATGTGCCGGCTGCCCCATGGGAGAAGGGTTCTCAGGAAGACAGCCCTGGAGGAGGGGAGCAGCACTCCATGAGGACAGACCTTGGTCCTATACAAGCAAAAGCTTCCTAGCAATCAGAGCGGACCAACAAATGAACTGGACCGACTGGACTGGACTGAGCTCTGAGAACCTGTGCTCTTCCCATTCTGGAAGGTTCAAGCACAGACCATAGAACAGATGTCTGAGGTGCTGCAAAGATTACTGGGTCTCTCGAAAGCATTTACAGCTCTACGATATTTATTTATTTATTTGCAGAACTAGAAGTCAAGCCTTCAAGTATGTTAGGCAGGCATTCCACCCCTAACTAAAGAGTCTAAGGTTATAAAGGAAAAGCCAAATGTCATGAATAAGTCATTTCTACAAGTTGCATGTAATTTCAGACCTTCACTAAATCAGAAAAGGAAAAACATTTCCCAAAGAAACAAGGTCTATTTCTGCTCGGTAGTACCTGACACAGTAACTGCCAGGGACCTCTCTTCAAATGAACTTGCACTAGTTCCTGAATAACATTTAAGCCGTATCATTGATTTCATTCAAATTCAGCACTACAATTTGAAAAATGCTTTACAGTTCCCAGGATATCCCAAAAGGCATTATTTTATCCACATTATCTGAACATGAATGTGGCAACTTTCCGCTAACCTGGTCTCATTTGTGGTCTCTGGCCTGAAGTATAAAAACTACCTGTCACTATCCATTAAACAGTCACTAAATTAATAAAGCTCATTTCCGCAGGCATCTCCCAAACAAAGCATTTACAGCCGTTCTAGCTATCAGACACAAACCTGGCCACTCTGCTAGCAGAGGAACCACACTGACTTTCGCAGTGTAATCATGCATTCACTTCGGTGACATGTCTACTTTATTTATAATGTGATGAGGGAAATCTGATATATTACAGCGTGGTATTTCTCAATACAAAGTGGCCATACAATCCGACAGTTCTAGAAAGCAGTCACAACAAAACAGGAAGCGGATGTGTTGTTGACAGGCAAGACTACTGCGGGCTCTAAGCCCAGGGGCTCCTTTAGCCCCAGTTAAGACTGCCAGCACGCTGCACAAGGAGCTGCCCCACAGCCACACTGGGCCCGCATCCGCTGCTTTACTTACTTCTTTGCGTTTCGTTTCTGGACATTCTGACTGCAGAGTAAGGGTCGCACCTTCGATGTTTCTTGGCATGGGCGTGGAACCAGGGTTTATAGTCAAATGAATCTGATCGGGTGAGATAATGTGTTGTACATAACCCTGGGACATTGCTTCCTGGTCTATTAGGAAGCCCTCTTCACCTTCCACTAGAAAAGGCAAGTGTTCTCCGCACTGTCCGTCGTCGTCATCATCCTCCAAAGTGCCAGGGTCCTGCTCTATGAGAACAGTGGTCCTATCATAGACAGTTCCAGATGAGGACGGCACCAGTCCGCTGTCATCCACAAACCTGAGCATCTTGTCATCCGGGGTTAGGTCATCTTCCTCTCCCTTAAAGAAGATGATGTTGTCGTCTGGACTGTGCTCCCCCATGGTTCAGTTGTGCTCAGCCCAGTTGTGAGAAACAGAACGGTAATGGCCTTTCTGCAACAGACAACACAGAGTTAGAGCCAGGCACAAGACTCAACCACCTCCTAAACACCTTAGGGATCATTTTCCCTAGCTTTAAAGAGCAAAACCAATGCTTTAATCCCAGACTTTGGGAGGGAGGCAGAGGCAGGCAGACCTCTGGGAGTTCAAGGTCAGTCTGGCCTTCACAGTGAGCTCCAGGTCAACCAAAGTTAGATGATAAGATCCTGTCTCAAACAAAAAAGACAGCAATTCAGGCCTAGGCATAGTGGTGCAGGCCTTTAATCCCAGCACCTGGCAGGTAGAGGAAGGCAGATCTCTGTGAATTCCAGGTAAACCAGGGATACACAGTGAGAATCTCAAAAAAAAAAAAAAAAAAAAAAGGAAAAAACTTCCTTAGAAATATTTAAGATTTGGCAAAATCAGTCACTGTTAAGGGAAAGTAGTATATCTTTTTTCTTTTTCAAAAATTTAAAGTTAGCAGTTCAGAAGACCTAACTGTGATTTACTGACACACACCTTAAAGATGGGTATGCACCTAGTGAGGAGAAAAGAGCAAACTGCACGCAGTTCAAGGACCAGCAGCTATAAACCTCCAGTGAGGCACTCCCATCCGGACACCCTCCCCCTCAGTCACACCGTGAGGCAGTACACAGCCTCGTGTTGTTGATGGTGCAGAAACAACACTTTGAACACAAACAATCACCTACAAATCCTGGTTTGCCCCTGACCGCTTGGCCAAACGGTGCCTTGTCTTTCTACAGTGGGCCTCACAGTCCCCGTCTCATAAGGAGTGAAGGAGAAATGGCAGGTAAAACACAGTCCTGTCAAACAGTAGAAAGAGGATAGACTCCTTCCGTCGTTGCTAGAACACGTGGGGTGGAGGGGTTAGCCCCTAATAAATCATAGCCAATGCAAATCATTTTAATTATTTGTATCCTAAAACATGACATGGGCCAGAGTGTATGCCTGTAACAGCGTGACTAGGCTTTCTGCCCCGAAAGGCTGTCCCTCACACACCATACTGACACGAGGCACGCAGGAAATAGCAACAAAATGAATGACAGATGAGCAGATAACGTCTCTTTTCGAAGACACAGTCTCTTGAGGAAATTACCAAATTTGAAGCTTTCATGGTCTGGAATGGTGATTCTTCCTGCACCCGAAAACACACAGGTTCTACAAATGTGGGTTCGGCAGACACAAAAGGAGAATTTAAAATAATCAGCACATCACTTGGTTTTCAGCCTGCTTCTGCATTTTCTCTCCTGCTCGGGGTTAGCAAGTGAGCCTTCACGAGCCAGAGCGACAAGAAGGCGAGGTAGTTACCAGACACAGGTCAAGGGATCTAATCAGAGAGGAACCAGCCCGAACCTTTGCTTACGCAACCCTAGAAAGGCACGTTTCTCTGTCTCTGAGACGAGAGATAAGAATACCAAGAGCTCCCGGTAGGCTGCCCCGGCACCTTCGGAGGCAACGCAGAGACCAACTTTCCGTAACAAACAAGACCAGGAGGTGCGAGTGTGGCCGAGGAGTGTGAACCGAGCACCCCTGAGAGACTGGCAGGAGGAACCTGACCGGGAAAAGCACCCCTAGTCCAGGACTACACAGAAAAACCCCGAGGCAGGCTGGGGGCTACGAGCTGACCGAAGAGGGGCAGGGTCCGGGTCTCCATGGAAACAGAGAAGGGGGGCTGGATACCCATCCCCATGGAAACGGAGGAGGGGTGGGGTCCCTCTGGTGAGTGGAATGAAGTCTCTACCCGGGACGGCTTCGGCAGGGAGCCCATGTCCCGCGCCCCCCGGGGAGTCCCAGCCCCAGCCAGTCCAGCTTCTGCTTTTACCTCCGCGGCTCCCGGCAACGGCGGCAGCGGCAGCTTCTCCCCTCCCCAGCGGCACCATGATTGCCCCCACCTGTCCCTAGCGTCACTTCCGCTTCCTCTTTCCGGAGGAAGGAGAGGCCGACGGGTTCCTTCGCCCACTGCTGCTTCTGATTGGCTTCTGCCCTCCAGGGTTGGGACCGCGCCTCCAGCCGGCGGGCTGTGGGCGGGGTGAGCGGCGTCAGGAGCTCCTGGGCCGCTGGGGTAGCCGACCGTAGGGAGCGGCGGGTGTCGGGTTCTGGAGACCACGCGACTCCAGCCACGAGCCCGAGGTGTCCTCAGCCCGGGCTGCGCCCATAACTGCAGCGGGAAGGGCGCAGTGAGCCGCCGCTTTCCAGGCGCGTAGGCCAGCCCGCGGCATCCCTCTTCTTCCTCCACAGCGCCCTTGTCACGCAGCGTAGTTCGCCTGGCTGAGGTCCTAGGACCCGAAAGCAGAGCGGACTGTTTCAGTCGCTTCCCGTTCCGACGCCTGCCAGAGCTGGCAGTCCCAACTTTCCCGTCCTACGGAGGGTTTTCGTGCTCGGGAGGGTCAGCGCCACCTACTGGCCGATCCCCTCTTCAGCTGTTAACACTCAGCCTACAGACCCTTGAAACCGCTACCTGGTAGCAGTATTCAAAAGCCAAAGAAGCGATTTTGCGCGTACTTCTACTATAGTCCAGTAAATATAATTACTAAACCCTCGCATAAGCCACTGTTTATTTTCCCCAAGAGAGACTTCTCTGGTACGTGTAGGTTGGAGCAATGCCTTTATAGGCTAGATCAGGATTCAGCCCCAAACTGCTGTGCCATTCCCTCTGCTTCGATTATACCGAATAGTGACTCTCACACGCTAGACTGCCACGCATGTCTCTTTGGCCCCTGACCAGCTGCTTCTGTGCTTAAGCCACAAAGATCCATCTGCTAAGAACTACCATATTTTGAAAGGGGGGAATGAGGGGAGAAGACTCAGTGGTTAAGGCCATCTACTGCGCTTGACCTGAGTTCAATTCACAGAACCCACATTGGGTGGCTCACAACCAGCTGTAATTCCAGCTTCACAAGAATCTCTGGCCTCTCCTGGCACCAGCATTCACACATGCATATACCACCACCACCGCGCCCCCCCCCCACGTAACTTAAAAGAAGAAAAAAGACAATCACGACTGTTAAAAATACATTTATCATTAAAATATATTACACATATGAGAGGGGATACATTATATACAGCTGGGAGGACTGTCTGACCTACAAAAGCTCACTTGCTTCACCAGAGCCCCCTTTTCTTCTGTGCTTTTAGGAGCCACTGAGAGGCCTTGGAGCTGAGTAGAAAGGGGGCAGTGTTACCCTGCGTATATACAGGTCCTCAGATTGGACAGTGGGAGCATCTGGAATGGCTAAAATTTGTTTATCCAGGAACATGTAACCAAATTCCTGCTGTTCAACTTGTTCTTCAAGGACTTCAGCTAGCCCAAATACCTAATTATGAGATGCTCAGTCAGGGATACAGGGAACTCACTGACTGTATGTCCCAGAGGCAGTTTGAGTAAGGCAAAATACAGTTACTTAACTTTCTTTAAAAAAAATAAAATAAAATAAACAAATAGAGCTCTATTTGTGTTAAATAACTAAAGGTGAACATTGAATGTCAGTTCTATAATTGTAGATTTCCGCCATGTTTTCACAAGTCAAGATGGGTGTACTAGCCAATGACATGGGTAAGGAGCAGGTGCAGGCTCAAGAAACAGGTAGCTGCCGTTCTTGCTTCCAGCTGGCCTCAGAGCATTTTAGGGCAGCTCTTGAGCTGAAACAGGCGGGGTTGACCATTGTGGCTGCTTGCGTAAGACAGGAGAGAAGTACTGAGGCTCAGACTGGACTGCTGAGGAATTGATGAATAAACTCTTGGGCCTTCTTCTTCTCCGTCATGTCAAGTTTTTGGGGACGAGCTGGGTTTCGGAGCAGTAAGCTGCCAAATATACTAGCTGTGCATGACAGAAACAGAAAACACCATTTAGCAACCAGACTACTAGGGTGACTAGGAGAGAGGAAGGACTATCCAAAAGCAAAATTTTTAAAGGCAGACCCTGGCTGCCGCAAACTCAGGAGACCCACCTGCCTCTACCTCCTGAGTCCTGGGATTAAAGATGTGCACAATGCCCAGGTATTTTCTCCTTGAAAAACCACAGTTGGGTGTGGTGGTACACGTGCTCCAGCCCAGTCTGAGCTATACAGTGGGCTGTGGAGATGGCTCAGGGAGTGAGAGGACGTGAGTGCAGACCCAGCACCCACCCCTGAGCCAGGCACACTGGTACACACCTGAAACCCCAGCAATGTGCAGGTGGAGGGGTGGATCCTGCGGACAGGCCAGCCAGCTAGTCCAGCCGAAACAGGCAGCTCCAGGGCTTTGCACATGTGAGCCAAGCATTCTACCACTAAGCCATCCTTCCAGCCTCAAACAATCTATATATAAACTTCATTCAGAACAGGGCATAGCGGCACATTGGCAGCATTCAGGGGACCAAGGCCAGCATGGGGTACACAGTGAGTTTGAGGCCAGCTCTGGCAACAGACATAACTTGACCCTATCTCTTAAAAAGTTAAAAGAAAAAAAAGCCTCAGGAAGCAGAGGCAGTCAGATCTCTTCTGAGGTCAAGGCCAGCCTAGTCTGCAAAGCAGTTCCAAGATTGCCAGGGCAGACACAGAGAAACCCTATCTCAAAACAAAACAAAACAAACAAAAGTTTAAAAAAAAAAAAAGCAAATACTTTCCTCTGAGCTTTGGTAAAAAAGGAAGTAAAGGCTAGGAAAAGGGGAGGTGAATGTAGAAAAGAAAACACATTTTAATTCCGCTTCCTTCCTCAGTGACTCTGTAGAGATGCTTGCCCTAGACACTTGGCTACTTACCTAGAATATTTTCATCCAAATGATTTTTTGCTGAATTCTTCAGCAGTTCTTGCAAAAACGCCATCAAGTAGTTGAAGACATTTTTGTGGAATGTGGGGAGAGTGGAAATGACCTGAAAGAGAGGTGGGGTTTGCAGCTTCGATCAATCACTTGACAAGTTGCCTGCTATATTCCAGGAACTGTGATTATAACTTACAAATGTAAAAATACACACAGAGTTAATCACGCACCACTTGGCATAAGTATCAGACACACACAAAGGTCAAAAACTGCATGATTTAGAGGTCAGACTTCTAATTCTGAGAACTTCCATGTTCTCAGACAACTTGAGGGAATTAAGACATTTTAGTTGGATCTTGAATATAAGATAAAATTAGACTTGTAACAGTGAGGATTAGGTATGGGGGGGCATAGAAGACAAGAGAAAGCAAACTGATAAGCAGGGAGAACAGGAGATATCGATGTTGGCAGGAATACACTGGCTGCACAGGCTCTAAGCCTGGAAGGGTAATCCAGGCTGGAATCCAGTATTTGCCCACGTATTTGCACAGAAGAATCAGCTAGGGAGCTAGGAAAAGGCAGGTTCCAGAAGACACCCAGATTCAATGGATATGAGCGAAGGTTCTGGAACACGTACTGTTGGCAACTGTTGTTCATTATTATATCAATCACCGAGTGGGGTGTGGTGATGCACACTTGTGATCCCCGCACTTGGAAAGCTGAGGTGGAAGGATAATGAATTGAGGTCAGCCTGGGCCACACTGAATTCTAGGCCAGAGCCACACAGAAAGAACCTGCTTCAAAAAACCAAACAAACAAAAATAAAAAAAAAAGGAAGGAAAAGAAAAGAAAGAGAAAGAAATGAGAAGTATCATTAAAAACAAAGAGGTAAGTATGGAACTGGAAATATGGTTCAGGGTTAAGAGCACTGACTGCTCTTCCAGAGGACATGAGTCCAAGTCCCAGCAACCACATGGCAGCTCACAACTGTCTGTAACTCCAGTTCCAGGGAGTTTGACACCCATGTCAAAACACCAATGTACATAAAAATAAAAAAAAATTTTAAAAAGAGTTAAGTATGGTTTTGTCTAATAGGATGGCACCTTTAAGTTCACCATCTAATTGGAGCACGCAGAATGAAGAAGAGAGGGAGCGCAGTAACACAGAGCCTGCACCACGTAAACAGTGACGACGGGAGAGAGTGGAAAAGTGATAGATCAATGGGACTGGGTGTGTGGGCGGTGAGGAGAGGGAGGAATCAGAAATGACTCAGGTTTCAGGGCTGAGTCACTGGAATTAAGGGCGAAGCTATTAAAAGCAAAGAGGACATGAAAGGAAGAGCGGGCATGAGAAAGAAAGAAGTTCATCTTCCAAGCCACTGCAGGAGAAGGCAAGATATTAATTTTCCAAGCCACTGGGATTGAGGGCCTGTTCTGTTTGGCTGTGCCAGGCTTCACATGCCCAGGGCTAGCTACTATGCATGCTAATGCTCGGTGCTCCCCTCACCTGTTTGCTTGCTACGCAGTTGCCAGAAAACTCCAGGCATTTATGGTAGGCGCTGTAACAGACGACAGGCTCTGGCAGGCTCTCTAGGAAAAGCAGCAAGGCTTCAGCTACGGAATGGTTGTTGGCACCTTTGGCCCACTGTTAAGGAACAGGTGACGGTGATGCCCAGGGACAAGCATGTGCCAGAAGGGCTGCCTGCTCAGTCAGGCTCTACTCAGTGCTAGGATGCCAGCCCACATCTCGACGGCACCATGCTGTTTGTCAGGTGCCATGCTGCCTGCGTGAAGTCGTAACATCCTCTCTGAAAAAGTTCTGAGTAAGTAGAGCCTGTTAGCCAAGGTCACACTATCAGATGCCAGGCTTTGAGATATACTTCTCTCTCTTTTAAAAGTGCTCATATTCACACACACACACACACACACACACACACACAAATTTCTGAAGGATACAGAGGTTATCAATCATTCCGGTATCCAAGCAGTCTCTTATATGTTCAAATTCTGGCCTCAGGCCTGGCTGCTGAAACAGATCTTCCTGCAAGAGGGAAGAAACCCACACAACAATTATTTTCTCAGAGGACCGGCAGTGATTCTCTGACCTACCCACATCACCAGAGTCCAAACGTCAGCCGTGTACTGAGACCTCTGAGTCACCCCAGTGTCAATGAGACTTAGGCTGCTGTGACTGACCCATCTTCAGGCCTTGCATGGCTTTACCAT